CTGTTAAGGTAACGTCGGAGGATAGAAGCTGTTCCAAGTAGGGTGGTTTTTTGTCAGAATCGGAATGTTCAAGTCTGATGAATTTAAAATTTCCAAATAGCGAGGTAGCCCTTTAGGTATTGCTTCAAGGGCTCCAATTACAATCAAGACAACACACAATTTCTTTTTCCATTGTTATAATTGTTATTGTTGTTATTATTATCATCATCATCATCAGTATATGTGTTATTTTTTCTTTTCTTTTTTGTCTTTCGTAAAATGATATGCCTGGACAATACACTGTATTGTGTGTGTGTGTGTGTGTGTGTGTGTGTGTGTGTGTGTGTGTTTGTATGTATATATGTATATATATATATAAACTTGACCAAAAAAAAAAAAGGAAGAGACTATTTAATCATATATGTGACCTATATTCATGATTATGATTATGCAGTGAATATGAACTGAAACTAATATACAGAACCTATTCTTGGCCATATATTATGTTTCATGGATACATTACACTTGTAACATTTGATGTACCTTGGCCATTTAAGAGAAAATACTTTTAAAGCAATTTCAGAGAACAAGGCAATATGAATAAAATGTCTGACCTATATATCATGTATTGAGAATCTTTTGTAATGCGTATGGTTTCATTATTAGTAGGTAGAAAAAACTTTTAAGAGCTGGAAAGCATTGGCCAAATTACTGTTGGTATCAGGCCGACAAAAATTATTCTAGAGTCAGGAAAAAGAAGTCTTTATTAAGTTTTACTCATCCAAATTTTTTTCCTCTATTTTCTCTCCCCAGGTTAAATGCCCATTTTGAGGTTAATTCAGACTGCTCTGTCTCCCGAGCTGAAATGTACTCTGAATATCTCTCTACATGCAGTAAACTAGCTAGAGGTGGAATTTTGACTTCTACTGGATTTTATAAATGTCTTCGGTAAGAGGAACTAATTCCTAGAAGAAAACACTAGTTGGATTTTTTTATCTATACTTGCTAAATTTGAGAAAAATATATTTCCATTATTGTTCACCTTAAATACAGGTAATCCTCAATTTAGAACCATTCATTTAGTGACCATTTGAAGTTACAATAGCAATGAAAAATGACTTATGACCATTTTTCACACTTATGACCATAGTGGCATCCCCTGTAGTCACGTGATCAAAATTTGCCCACTTGGCAACTGACATGTATTTATGATGGTTGCATTGTCCCAGAGTCATGTGATCACCTTGTGCGACCTTCTGGCAAGCAAAGTCAATGGGAAAGCCAGATTCACTTAACAACCAAGTTACTAACTCAACAGCTACAGTGATTCACTTAATAACTGTGACAAAAAAGGTCATAAAATGGAGAAAGCTTCCCTTAACTGTCTTACTTAGCAATAGAAATTTTGAGCTCTCTTGTGGTCATATTGCTATTTAGTTAAGCTCCAAACCATATACACTACATTTCTCCTTAATTATTGCTCAGGAGAAAATTCTTTATTTTATTTTTTTATTTGATTTGATTTGTCAATCGTTTACAAGATAATAGGTATAAGAATAAACATGAATATGAATGAAATGGGGACAGAAGGACAGGGACAGTAGGCACAATGGTGCGCTTATGCATGTCCCTGACAGACCTCTTAGGAATGGGGTGAGGTCAATAGTAGATAGATTAAGGTTAAAGTTATGAGGATTTGAAGATGTAACAACAGAGTTAGTAGTGCATTCCAGGCATTGACCACTCTGTTGCTGCACTCATATTTTCTGCAATCAAGTTTGGAGCGGTTTATATTGAGTTTGTTGTGTGCTCTTGTATTATTGCGGTTGAAGCTGAAGTAGTTAGCTACTGACTGTTAGGACGTTGTAGCGGATAATTTTGTGTATTATGCTTAGGTCTGACTGTAGGTGGCGTAGTTCTAGGTTGTCCAAGCCCAAAATTTCAAGCTTGGTGGTGTAGGCTATTCTGTTGCGAGCAGAAGAGTGTAGTACTATTCTCGTGAAATATCTCTGGACTCGCTCAATTGTATTAATATTTGGTATACAGTGCAGATTCCAGACAGATGAGCTGTATTCGAGAATTGGTCTAGCAAAAGTTTTTTATGCCCTAGTTAGCAATACAGTGTTACTGGAGGAGAAGCTTCTTAAGATTAGGTTAACAACTCTTAATGCCTTTTTGGTGATGGTATTACAGTGAACTCTAGCACTTAAATCATTTGATATGAGTACTCCAAGGTCCTTGACAGAGTGATGGTCGTCTACGAGATCGTATCCACCTAGCTTGTATTTGGTGTTCTGATTATTTTTACCAATGTGTAGGACAGAACATTTGTTGGTTGAGATTTGGAGTTGCCACTTTTTTGACCATGTGGTGGTTGAATAGTTTTATGTCATCAGGGAAGAGGACGCATTTGCTTATAAGATGATTGCAAAGGTCATTTATGTAGAGTATAAAGAGTGTGGGTCCTAGAACGCTGCCTTGGGGGACACTGCTGTTAACAGGTACAGGGTTTGAAAAGATGCTCCCTATTTTGACTATTTGTTGTCTGTTTGACAGGAACGCAGCAATCCACTTATGAAGGGATCTGGAGATGTTGTAAGAGTTTAGTTTTAATAGTAGTTTATCATATACCACTGAATAAAAGGCTTTTGTCAATGTAAATTAGATCTATTGCTTTACCCTAGTTGAGTTGAGTAGTCCATATGGTGCATCTACTTTTATCTGGCGGCATAAGGTGTTGTATTGGCTTTATCTTAGCTACGTAGCTAGTTTTGTTTATTCACCAGTGATTTTTTTTTTAATTGAAGCTTCCTTATTGTTATGGGTAATTTATTTTTGTTTTTTTTGTTTTGGGTTTACTAATGATACATATAATTTAATGATTCTTTCAAATTCGAGAAAGAAAGTGTTATAACTGTCTTCAGTAATATTACAGCCAGTGAACAGAATGTGCCAATCAAGAGATGATAGGTCAGCAGCTATGAGATCATAGTTGGCTTTTTCAAAATTATATTTTGGGGATCCATCATTATGATTCTCTTTGTGAAGACATAAATAGAGACAAAAGTCAATCAAGCTGTGGTCACTGTTTGAAAAGGGTTCTTCTATTTGTCGACCATAAATTGAGTTTAAACTGTTGCAGAAGATGAAGTCAAGGCAGTTGTTGAGTCTAGTGATGTTAATTACTAATTGATCCAGACCCAGAGTAGTAACAACATTGTACAGGGTATACCCATATATACTCAGATGTGCATTTATTTAGGGTCCAATTTATAAGAGGTAGGCTGAGGTAGGCTGAGGTCACCAAGGAAAATAAGAGGGTGTGAGGAGGAGGCTGCCCACATTAGTAGTGAAGCTTGTTAGCTTGTTTGCATGAACAAGGTCATAATCAGGGGCTCTGTAGCATAGTAAGAAGCGAAATGTGATATTTAAGAACAGTTCATATACTATGGTCTCTGGAAGAGCAAGCTCCTGTGTAATATGAATCTTTTTAGATTTAGGGACTTTTTATAGAAGATAGCAACTCCACCCCCTTTACGGATTTCACGATCTGACCGATAAATATGATGTTGTGTAATGGCATCTGGGAAGAATGCATTCAACCACATCTCACAGACAAATATAATGTTGAATGTAGCCGTGTTTAATAAGAAGAATTCATGCATTTTGTTTGCGAGGCTTCTTGCGTTAAGTAGTTTGCATTTCAGATCTGTAGTAGCAGTTCACTCCAAACTCCATTTTTAAGTCATATTGCCTAAAAAAACAATCTACATTCTCATTCTTTTTTTTGACAGAACTGTATTTCCAAATCATTCAGTGAAGAAAGTTGAGGATGCAAATAACAATGGGCAGGCTCATATTCACGTAGTAGGAGTAAAAAGGAGGGCTATACCACTTCCTGTTCAGATGTACTATCAGCAACAATCTTCTTCAACCCCTATTCTTCGGGTTGATTCTGTTCCTGAAGTAGCTCCATCTGCTTCACCAGCAGGTATTATTATATTTTGAATTTCATCTTTGTCTATTGAGCAGTTTTTAGTTATTTATAGGAGCAAAAATATTTTTGGTCACCGGAGAAAGCAATTATGTTTGGAAGGGTTAGTGGTAAAAGGAAGCCAGGCTGTCAACACGATGGCTTGATGTCGTCAAAACTGACACAAGCCAAAGCATAGAAAAGTTCAAATAAGTAGTGCAAGATAGGAAGATGTAGAGAGATCTTGCCCATAGACTCACCAAGAATCAGACTGAATGGATATCACCCTCATCAAATATTTTTGGAAGTATGGTTGGAATACATTACAATAAATAAAGTGTGCCTATGTTCCAGTAAACATGACAAAAAACAAAAGGGAATAAAAAGGGGAAAGGTAAACAGAGGATGGTTTGAGTTGGTGGAAAGTTATACTTCTCTAGCCAATGGATAAGAAGTGGTGATCTTCATTTTCCAGTTATATTATTTCCCTTGCAGTGAGGTCTTTCTGGGAGATAAGGGTAAAGGTTCCTCTTGCACTTATGTGCTAAGTCGTTCCCGACTCCAGGGGGCGGGGTGCTCATCTCTGTTTCAAACCAAAGGGCCAGCACTGTCCGAAGACATTTCCTTGGTCATGTGGCCGGCATGAGTAAACACCGAAGGCGCACAGAACACTGTTACCTTCCCTCCAAAGTGGTTTCTATTTTTCTACTTGCATTTTTTACGTGCTTTCAAGCTGCTTGGTTGGCAGAAGCTGGGACAAATAACTAGAACTCACTCTGTTACACGGTGCTAGGGATCCAAACTGCCGACCTTCTGATAGACAAGCTCAGCCTCTTAGCCACTGAGCCACCACATCCCTCTATAATAAGGGTACATTCTCTAATTAATTTTTGCTCTGCTGGCCAAAGAAAAAGATCCCAGCATATTTTCTTAATTCAATTATATAATAATTTCTAATAGCAGGTTGTATCTACTAAATAGTTAAGATAAATGTTTAATTAAATTTGAACAATTTTATTTCACTTAATTTCTAAATAGTTTGGTATTAGTTTCAAAATTATAGTGTACTGAGAAAGTTAGAGTCTAAAGTAACAATGATCTAATGGTGTCCACTTTAGCTGCTTAAATTGAATAGCTTTTAATAAGAATTTTTCAATGAATTAGGAAGGAAAGGTAAAAATGTTTCCAATGTTTCAGTGTACAGTGGAAAATACTTGCTCCATTACCACTGAAATACATAAAATTCATGGTGAATGTCAACTCAGGAAGCATTCAAAGCTTAATTTATAAATGTTAATTACTACTGATTTCAGCATTACAACTTCAGATTTGTTCCCCTTTATCAACAGGACTCCCACATGGATCATCAAGTATAGGAAACCATTTTCAGAGGAATCCTATTAATAATCAATCTTCAACTATAGCTGCAACACAGATGTCTTTTCCAATTCAAGGTGCATCTACAGTGGTACAGACTGTTTCCAGGATACCACAAAATCCTTTAGTTCATAGTCACCATCAACAGAATGCTCCTGTGACTGTCATACAAAATAAAGCTCCAATTTCTTGTGATGTAGTGAAGGCCACAGTGATACAGAACACAGTTCCACAGTCTGCAGTTCCTGTTACTATTGCTGTAGGAGGTGGAGCACAATCTTCAAATCAAAATCCTAATAATGCAGGACCACAACCCTCTGTTACTGTTGTCAGCTCCCAGACTTTACTTCATCAACCTGTAATTCAACAGTCATCTCTACATGCAGTGGTACCAGGACAAATATCATCAGGCACTCCTGTTACAGTAATTCAACAAGCTGTACCTCAAAGTCATATATTTGGCAGAGTACAGAACATACCAGTATGCACTTCAGCAGTTTCCCAGGCTCAGCAGCTCATAACCACATCATCACAGCCAGTACAATCATCAACTCAGCAATCCACAGGTGGTAACCAGCAGCAGGATGCTGTTATTATAGCACCTCAGCAGTATGTTACAACATCATCATCTAATATAGTTTCTGCTACTACAGTTCAGAATTTCCAAGTTGCAACTGGGCAGATGGTTACAATTGCTGGTGTCCAGAATCCACCAACATCAAGAGTAGGGTTTCAGAATATTGCACCAAAGCCTTCTCAGCAAGTCCCAGCAGCAGTGGCACAGCAACCAATGCAGCAGTCTCAGCAGCAACCACCACCACCTCAGCAAAGTGTAGTGATTGTAAGCCAACCAACTCCGCAAGGTCCAACATATGCACCAGCCATTCACCAAATTGTTCTTACTAATCCAGCTTCAATCCCAGCTGGCCAAACTGTTCAGTTGGGTGCACAGCCAAACTTAACTCCAACTTCCTCACCATCACCTGGACCAATTTCAAACAACCAAGTCCCCACAGTAATATCATCTCCATCTCTCATCTCTCAGGCACAAGGACCCCCTCCTACTGTCAGTCAAATGCTTTCTGTAAAGCGTCAACAACAGCAGCAGCAACAGCAACAGCATTCACCAGCATCGTCCCAGACGCAGCAGCAAGTCCAGATGCAAGTTCAGCCACAACAAAATAGTCCTGGGGTTGGTCAGCCACCTTCTAATGAATCCAGTCTGATAAAACAACTCTTGCTTCCTAAACGAGGCCCTTCTACTCCCGGTGGCAAACTTATTCTCCCAGCACCACAAATTCCTCCTTCAAACAGTGCAAGAGCTCCCAGCCCTCAAGTGGTTTATCAGATGACTAATAACCAAGCAACAAGTTTTGGAGTTCAAGGGCAGTCTTCTGCTCAGCCATTACTAGTTGGACAGCAAAATGTTCAGTTGGTCCAGAGTGCAATTCAATCCCAAGGAACAGTACAAACGGTTCCTATTTCCAATTTACAAATATTGCCAGGCCAGTTGATTTCAAACAATCCAGCAACTATTTTTCAAGGAACTTCCCGCAATCAGGTTACTATAACAGTTGTGCCAAATACTAGTTTCGCTACAGCAAATACAAGTCAGGGAAATGCAACTAAAATAATTGCTCCAGCTGGAATAACAATGAGTGGGACACAAACAGCAGTTGGGCTTCAGGTGCAAGCACTTCCACCTAACCAGGCACCTCTAGCTGGACAGTCATGTTCTGCTACTGCCCCTCCATTCAAAGGAGATAAAATAATTTGCCAAAAGGAAGAAGAAGCAAAGGAGGCAACAGGTTTACATATTCATGAGCGCAAAATCGAAGTAATGGAAAACCCTTCTTGCAGAAGAGGTGCTGCAAACACCAGGAATGGCGATGCAAAGGAAAATGAAACACAAGCGGGAAGTCTTCTAAATGGAAGAAAGCATGACTCCAGTCTACCTCCAGCTAACTCAGGGAAAACTCAGAATGAGGCCAATCAGTTCTCACAAGTCAGTAATGGATCATCATTAATCGTGGATGAAAATGGAGGTCTTGGAAAGCAGAACTTTGAACAACCAGACATGCAGGAACTTAAAAGTGATTTGAGGAAGCCCCTCCTTAATGGAATCTGTGAGTTTGGAAAGGGTGACGGTTCCCATTTAAGTAAAAACATTCCAAATCACAAAACTTCCAACCATATAGGAAATGGTGAAATTTCTCCAATAGAACAAGATAATTTGGATGCGACACAATTAGATGCTGCCAAAGGTGATCAAGGGGAAAGATTTTCCAATGGACCTGTTTTAGCTTTGGGGACTATGCCTGTTGTAAGCAGTATACACGAGGCTTCAAAACTCTTAACTCAGCAACCTAGTAGTACCAACACTGATGTACCTAATGGACCTCTAATTTCAAATTTGAATTCAGACGTGCCTCACCAACGCCCAAGTGTAGTAGTTTCACCACAGACAACAGCCTCTGTTATACAGGGGCATCAGATCATAGCAGTTCCACACTCAGGATCTCGTGGATCCCCAGCTACTCTGTCATCCGAAGTACGGTCAACTAATGGCACAGCAGAATGCAAAACTGTAAAGAGGCCAGCAGAGGACAATGACAGGGAAACTGTTCCAGTAATCCCCAATAAAGTAGGAGTTAGAATTGTTACAATAAGTGACCCTAACAAAGCTGGTTGTAGTGCAACTATGGTAGCTGTGCCAGCTGGAGCAGATCCAAATACTGTAGCAAAAGTAGCAATAGAAAGTGCTGTTCAGCAAAAGCAGCAACAGCAACAGCAACAACATGCAACACCATACATACAAAACATGGTCACACAGGTAGGTCCTTGACAGTCTTCATTTTCTAGCTACTAAACTTAATTTTCACATATACGTATGCATTTGGGGATATAAAGGTTCAGTGCTTTCAATATTTTGTTCAACAGCTTTAAAATGAGAACTATTTTGAAAATCCTACCAATCTATTATTGCTCATCATTTTCTGGACAATAGCTTGTATTTATAGAAATGAATAAGTTAGGATATAATTTGATTAGGCGTAGAAGAACTGTTTTTACTTTTGTTTCTTCAATGTCTTATTTCAAAAGCTGAGCTGCTTTCCTACATTTTACTATTTTAAATGTTTGGGTTCCTGAGTTCCCATTCCTTTTGGATTTCAAGCTGTTTTTTGCATCTTATTGCCTTCATTTGCAATAGCTGTCTTTTGTATACATCATGTATACTTAACATATGCTTTTTTCAGTACCGTATGTGAAAACATATCAAAAAACATGTAAACCAGCTGTTGAATTTTGAATGATTTCTGCAGAGATTGTTTCAGTCTTGCAAGTTTATTTCAGTAGACAAGACATTGAAGTATTTAATTAGTGGGATGTATTCTTTTTCATCACTAAATCTGTTCATTAGTTTTGAAAGTATATTCTTATTACTGTATCCTGCTAACAATGTTACTTCAAACATGTGACAAAAGATGTTAATACTGCATCAACAATGGTATGAGAAGACTCAGACTAATTACATTGCTGACTCCATTTTGCCTTTTTAAGATACACGTTCTAATTATCTAAATTTATCTAATTATTCTAGACACATTTGTGATTTTTAAAATTGGGATAAATTTAAAGTAGTTTTCGTTGCTTCACAACAGAAGGAATCCCATATTATTAAATTAACTATTTATATTTATCCTGAAAGTTAGGCTTACAAAAAACATAAACTTCAATCACTTTAAAATTTCACAAAAGAAAAAGAAAGTTGCACAAGGGAAACAGACCATTATTCTTTATTCTCAAAAGTCTAAGACCTGCCCAAATCACTGCCCAAGAAAAATATAACTAAGCATCAGTCAGGACAAGGAGTCCACTTGCATATACACTTTGGACATATTATAATAGCATTCTTTTGTTTCTTTATAATCATTAATATATATATATATATATATATATATATTATATATATATATATCCCCACAACCCCTGGTATGCCCAAATATGGGAGGAAGATTACTACTTCCATTCTCTGTCCTTTGGCTCGTCACAAGAGACCATCCAGACAGAAACCCAATATTTTTTACTGTTGCCTTTTTGTTACATTTGTTATATTTGTGCTGATAAATAAATAAAGGGAGACTAGTATAGATCTATTCCAAGCTATTCAGCTCTCATCAGCTAGCCATTCCTTTACTGGGAATGGAAGCTGTGCTGTATTGCCTCTTAGGCAGATGTGTTAACCACTGAGCTACAGGGCTCGACTCCTTATCAGCCAAGCCAGGGTGAAAGGTATATATTTAAAGTCACAACCCCTGGTATGCCCAAATATGGGAGGAAGATTACTACTTCCATTCTCTGTCCTTTGGCTCGTCACAAGAGACCATCCAGACAGAAACCCAATATTTTTTACTGTTGCCTTTTTGTTACATTTGTTATATTTGTGCTGATAAATAAATAAAGGGAGACTAGTATAGATCTATTCCAAGCTATTCAGCTCTCATCAGCTAGCCATTCCTTTACTGGGAATGGAAGCTGTGCTGTATTGCCTCTTAGGCAGATGTGTTAACCACTGAGCTACAGGGCTCGACTCCTTATCAGCCAAATATATATATATTTGTCCTTTGTCTGGCTGTGCATGAATCATTCAATCTAAACCTCCATAGAGGGTGGTTGCAAATCAGCCACAGAGATCCTAGAAGAAATGCATTATGTGGCTCTCTTCTAGTCAGGTATGGGCCCAGGGTGAAAGTAACATTGCTCATACTTCTGAATAATCTTCAACCATTTCTACATGAAAAATTCTTGTATACAGATGCCAGGCCATTATATATTACCCTCAGCTGGCGATATAGAAGTCTTGAACAGTTATCTGAACATGGATTAGAAGTCCATGCTGCATGACCATCTATGCAGAGATGAAATCACAGCAAGACAAATGTATAATTTGTTAATAAATGATTGGACAATCTGAAATGTTGGTCTAGTTGTTACATCTGATGAGGTTGTCTGGTGTGAGAAGCCTTCATAAAACAGAGGGTCCTGCTTAAACTACATGATCGGAGGACCTTTTGCTCAACTTGGCTGATGTTTCGGTTATAACCCTAGCTGAACTGGATTTATTTAGTGCAGTGGTAGTCAACCTGGTCCCTACCGCCCATTAGTGGGCGTTCCAGCTTTCATGGTGGGCGGTACAGGTTTTTTCTGATGTTGAAGCACTTTCCTTTTTAAAATTTAATTGACTTCCCTACTTTATAAATCACCATTACCGGTGGGCGGTTAGAAAATTTTACTATTAACAGAGATACAAAAGTGGGCAGTAGGTATAAAAAGGTTGACTACCCCTGATTTAGTGTATTGCATATCATACATGGACCATATATTAACATTTTACCTAGATTAGAAAACACAATAAAATATAAATGTTAAAAATATCTATATTCAATCAATGTTTAGGCTGTCTAACCATTGAAATGCAATGAATGGACTGAACTAGAATGATCAGGTGACAGTAACTCACTTCTCAAGTACAACTTGGCTGCAGTTCATGCAGAATGTGGAAGCCAGATTTCTGGCAAACCTCCCCACTACTGTAGAAAAATATCAATATGAAGCTTGCTGCACTGGTTATCAGGCTTCTGGGCTCAATTCAAAGTGCTGCTTGTCTCCAATAAATATATATGGTTTAATACCAGATTATATTGGGCACCACTTTTATCAGAATGACTACTCATCCAACCAAATATCAGGTAGCAGTGAAATCATGGAAAGGTCTCTTCTATGATTATCCTCAAGCTTTGGAACATCAGCTGCCCTTCCCTCCTTTCAAAACAGATGTGTCATATTATTCCATTAGATATTTGGTTTTGAATTATGCTGCATGACCATTATTGTTAGTCTTTATTTTGTTCCATGCTTGTTTTTATAGTTCTTGAAAACTGGCCAGGAAATATATTGTTAAATTAATAAGCACATTTATTGGTTTAAAATTTACTGGTAAAAATGTTTAGTTGTTCCAACTATATAGGAAATGGTGAAATTTCTCCATGCTGCTAAAGGTGATCAAGGGGAAAGATTTTCCAATGGATCTCTCTGTCAGCATCCCAGTGATTTTAATTGCAGGGATTTGGGCACCATCTTACTTTTTGAGTATCAGTGATTTAAGTGGAATTTGACAAGAATTCATTTATATAATAGACCAGTATATTTTATTGAATAATTGTAATATCCTTTCAAGATTTGGATATTTTGTTCCTGTAAGTTGTGGAAAAAGATTGTTATAAAATGAGAAAGCCCTTCAGATTTTTGTATTAACTCCCCAAATTGATTGGTTTTCTAATTTTTTTGGAATGGAAACAGAAATTGCCAGTAAAGTGGTTTTAGTGAAATTATTATTTAAATTGATTGAAAATTGATTTCCTGGATAAAATCTAAAACTCTTTTCTGTTAAATGAATGTTTATGATGTTATAAGATGCCTTCTTTCATCTACCCCCAACTGTATAGAAAATGAATGTGAAGGAGAATGATATGCAGAAGAACATATCCAGAAAAGAAAAGTTACTGAGGAAAAAAATGGCTAGTAATTTCCTGTGTGAGGGCATAAATGTGTGGTTGGGGGTCTATGGAGAGATCACCCGGGAGTTCAAAAACTGTGGTAAAACAAAGAGAAACTGCTTCTAGACACAGGACTCCATTTATTTTATGCTGAGAATTTCCATCTTCATTTTTAAGGAATTATGTACAGAGTTGAAACAATGGTAGAATTTAAATAATAATAATTTCTTTTTCAAAATAATTGCCTCAGGTATCTTTTTAAAATTCTAAATGTTATTTGGAAGATATTTTCAATGGCTGAATCCTCTCTGCAGTTGCTCTTACTTGTGGTTGCACATATTTTTTTAAAAATTTTTTTGGTGTAAGCTGTGCTTGTCTCAGCTGATCACTCAGTACAACCTCCAAGAAATAGATTTGGAGAGAATGTCTAGATACAGTTTTATTACATGCTATAATTTCATTATCTAGTAAACCATAACTTTTTTTTTTAAACAGCTTATTGTTTCAGTATCTAGTAAGCTATAATTTTTTCTTTTAAAAAGCTTTCTTTAAATAAGAGATAATTTTGGAAGGATAAACTCAGATAAACGTTTGTGAGTCATACTGGAAAAAAGAATATGTGTTAGTTCATATCTGCTATTTGTAAATTTATTTTTAAATTATGAACCTTATGTCACAGCTGAAATGAAGGATGTAGAAATGATGTGATACTAATCTAATGTTCATTTACATCAAATCACTTATACAATTGTCTGATAAGAGCCGAGGTGACACAGTGGTTAAATGCAGCACTGCAGGCTACTTCAACTGACTGCAGTTCTGCAGTTCGGCTGTTCAAATCTTACCAGGGTTGACTCAGCCTTCCATCCTTCTGAGGTGGGTAAAATGAGGACCCGGATTGTTGTGGGCAATATGCTGACTCTGTAAACCGCTTAGAGAGGGCTGAAAGCCCTATGAAGCGGTATATAAGTCTAACTGCTATTGCTATTGCTATTGATAAAAATATAAAGATTTTCTGTCTCAAGAAAATCAGTAGAGCATATTATTCAGGTCTCTTAACAGGGTAAATTGAATCAGATATCCTAGTAAAGGAGATGAGAAGTGCAGCTTTGAGAAAGTAATCCCTATTAAAAACAATAACTTAGTTGCAACAATTTGAATCTGCTGTTCAAAATGCTTATGAAAGTTAATTCTGCTTTAATCAAAATAAATCTTTATAGACCTCACCTCAGCAAAGGCATTGTCAATGGTTATAAAACTGGAAAGACTGTAGAAA